CCGCATGTTTAGAAAGCCATGTAAAATTAATGCAAGTTCAACTTTGAAAAAACATCTCTCGAGACTTAATGGCGAATTAATTTTTCACAGATAGTCATGTTATCTTATGCTCGATGCACCCTCTTATGGCCTCAGGAGAAAAGCCAAAAGCTTTTCTTTACCCTAACTGAAATGATGCATTTTAAATTCGAATATAATTCGAATTTTGATAATATTTAAGCACAAAATTCGAATTTAGTTTTTCAGCCATTTTGACAGCCCTACATTGCAGTGCCTGCAGTTCGAAAAAAAGTGTTTGTATGGAAGTCTGTGAGAACAGTCTGGGCGATTCTCAGCCATAGTGAAATCGCCCCAAAAGGGGCGGTACTCCACAGAACGTGACTTGACTCTGATTGGACTATATATATCCAGAGGCAGAACAAACAGTCTAGAACAGTGACAGCTGTGGTTGAATGTCATAGAAAAGAAAATCTCTCCCTTTCGCTCTTTGGTGGTGCGTCGCCCTATCGCCCTAATGCATATTTTTGCTTATAACTTCTGAATGGTTTGGCCAAAAATCACAAAACACGAGGTCTCTTTAGATGCGGTGCATCATGCCGAGTCGAACCATATCAAATGTTTCCATGTCAGCCATTTTGGGCGTCGGCCATTTAGAATTTTGCCAAAAAATTCAATATTTTAAGAACGCTTAGACTTTGTTATTATGAAAATTGGTATGCATCTTCAGCACCATGCCCTGATGGCACTCAAAAAGTTTGGGCGCAGCGTCACCTTGTGGTCAAAAGTTATAAAGCAATGTATAAAAATGCTAATAACTTTTGCATACATTATAATATTGTAATGAGACTGATGTTGATAGATTCCTTGCATCATGCTGAGAACATCGATACCAATTTTGCCATAATTGGCTGAACTTCCTGTTCACCATTTTGATTCATGTTGAAAACCTACTTTTTCGAATTTCCCTTAGCAAATCCGAACTGCCTGTCGGCCATTTTGATTTATGCTGTAAACCTACTTTTTCAAACTCCTCCTCAAGCCTAGGTCAGATTTTCACCAAAATCGAGTCAAATCATCTTCAGACTGTGCTGACTAAATGTTTTGGATTTCGTGTCGATAGACGAAACCGTTTTCGTAAAGCGCTGCTACAAATTTTAGGCATGTCCATGCCATGCTTAGCTTCTCATTTTGCCTCTGGAGTGCTTGGCCCCGCAATTGCTGCTTGCAGCTACATTTATAATTATTATTGTTAAATATTATAAATATTATTATTAAACAGTTTTTTCAAGATTCTGATTCTATATTCTATTATCATTTTTCAAGATTATATTATGAATAGAAGTTATAAAGAAATATTTACTGTCATTTTTGACCAATGTAATGTATCATTTATGAAAAGTATTTATTTTTTAATCTTTTGTTTTCCAGTTACATTATAGCTGTATAACTTCCAACTATTATTTTAAATAAATATTTAAATTTGAAAAACATTACATATTATTTGGCCCATAAAACCAAATATGTTTTCTGTTCATTTTCAGTCTTTGGACAAAATTATTTTCTGCGGTATTCAACATGAAGTACACATGAAATAACCCAGCATAACTACCTCATAAAAGAAGCTGCAAGTAAATAAACTGCAGATGAGAATATATATGAATATGCATAGACATACAGTGGTGTGAAAAAGTGTTGGCCCCCTTCCTGATTTCTTATTTTTTTGCATGTTTGTCACACTTTAATGTTTCAGATCATCAAACTAATTTAAATAGTCAAAGAACGAAATCAGGAAGGGGGCCAACACTTTTTCACACCACTGTATATCAGTATATAAAGCTTCTTGTCACACACCTTGCCTCATCTTTTCAACTTCTCCCTCAGACACAAAGCTGAGCAGTGCCCATGACATGGCCAATCGCAGAGCCCCAGCCTGAGCAGAGTGACCACTGCCCTCCACACTGCCTTCAATGTCAAACCGGCCCATCATGCCCACAAAGAGCAGAGGAAACATCAGCTGCTCCCTGAGAGAGAGAAAGAGGGAAAGATATATATATTTATAGTGAGAGGCGTAAAAGTGATGTGTGGGGAGAATTAAGAACATGTTTCTCTCCGCTGGACTACTCAAGCTTTCAACATCAGTATGAATGACACTCCTGCAAATCTCCGTTTGAGGACTGTATCATCATATTTAGACAAAGTGATAATCCCACCACTGTAAGAACCATAGAGAGGACGCGATGCAAGCGTGTGCTTAAGTATGTGTGCGCTCGCTGGCTCGCTTGCAGGGATGGCCCACAGTGCTGACACAGAGCAACACTCCCCTTCTGCTCCAATTAGGCCTGTGTGAAGCGGACGGAGTGATAAGGGCGGGCAGCCGGCCGCATGCTGACAGCGCCAAGTCTCTGGTTCACTCAT